AAAAAAAAAAAAAAAAAAAAAGAACAGAATACTCATAAGAGTAGAAGCCATCAAAATTGGAGCTGAGTGTGGTGGTGCACTCCTGTAATCCCAGCACTGTGGGAACCTGAGGCAGGAGGATCAAATGTTTAAACCTAGTCTGGGCAATTTAATGAGGCCCTTTCTCAGAAAGGTAGTGGTAGCAATGGAAAGGGGTGGGTATAGCTCAGAGTAAAAGACCTGGGTTCAATCCCTAGTACTGTAAAATAATAAAGTAAAATGAAAATTAAAGGGTGAGGATGTAATTCAGCACCCTAGCTCAGCACTTGCAGAGTTCAGTGCATAGTACTTAGAAAATAGCTAGAGAAAGCTAATACCAATAAGTGTTCTTCTCAAACAGCAGACGTTCCAGTTGAAAACAGGAATAAGATTGGGACTGGGGATACAGCTCAGAAGCACAAGTACCTGCCTGGAAAGCACAAGGTCCTGAGTTCAATTCCTGGTACCAAAAAACCTAAGAATACAAAGAAGTAATATAGACATGAGTATTTCCTCAAAATCAGTAGTTAACTGTGTTAAAACAGTGAACTATGAAATATTAAAAGTATTTCTGGGGAGGGGGAGATGGCTCAGTGGAATAAGCGCTTCCCTGGCAAGCGTGAGGGCCTGAGTTCAATCCCCAGTTGCACACACACACACACAAAAGTATTTCCAGTAACATCAAGGCAAAAAAGGTGTGGTGGCACACACCTATAGTTCCAACACTCTGGAAGGCTAAGGCAGGAGAATCATCATGTTTGAGCCCAGCTTGGGAGTAATTTATTTATTTATTTTTTTGGCGGAACTGGGGATTGAACTCAGACCTTTGTGCTCACCAGGGAAGCGCTTATTCCACTGAGCCATCTCCCCAGCCCCTTGGGAGTAATTTAGCAAGAACTTTTCTCATAATAAGAAATAAAGAAGGGCTGGGGATGTAACTTCATGTGAAAGTCTTGGTTCAATTCCCGGTATCACCAAAAAAAAAAAAAAAAACCCACAGAAAAACATTTGATTATATCCAGTAATAGCAAGACTAAGAAAACCAGTACTATTATGTCAGGTATTGAGGGACAATTGGAGAAAAAATGTAGTACAACCAATGGAACAAGCACCTAGTCCTGAGTTTGATTCCCAGTATCAAACAACAAAAAAAGATAATTTGTTGACCTACCTGCCTGCCTGCCCGCCTGCCCATCCGTCCGTCCGTCCGTCCGTCCGTCCGTCCGTCCATCTCTAGTTTCCAGTTCTGGGGTTTGAATTTAAGGCTTTCACACTGAATTACATCCCTAGCCCTCTTATTTATTTATTTTAAAATTTATTTGGTACAGGGTCTTGCTCTGCAACTGGACTTATAGTGATCCTCCTGTCTCAGCTACCCCAGTGCTGGGATTACAAGTGTGCGCCACCACACCTGGTTTTGGTGGTTGGCATGACATGTGGTACTGGGGATTGAACCCAGGTCCTTGTTCTTGCCAGGCAGGTGCTTAGACCACCAAGCTATTTCCTCAGCCCTGTAGCCCTCTTGAAACATCATTTCCCTAAGTTACATGAGTTGGGCTAAAACTTTCAATCTTTCTACTTCAACCTCAGAATTCTAGGATGACAGGCATGTGCCAGCACATCCAGCTTTTTTTCTTCTTCTCTTTTTGGCAGTACCAGGGATTGAACTCAGGACCTTGCATTTGCCAGGCAAGCACTTATTCTACCGAGCTGTCTCCCCGGCCCTTTCTTTTCTTTTTTGTTATTTGTTTATTTATGGTTTTCTTAGACAAGGTCTCACTATGTAGTTGAGGCTGGGTGTGAACTCACTGAGTAGCTCATGCTGGCCTCAAACTTAGTGATACTGCCTCAAGTTCCTGAGGGCTAGGATTACAAGTATGTGCTAACAGCCCAGGCCACATCCAGCTTTATTTTTTTAGAAAAGTGTAATAATTTTTTATAGCATTGTTTATATCAACAAAAATCTTATAGCTGGGTGTGGTGGCACGTTTGTAATCTCAGCTGTTTGGAAGGATCAAAAATTCAAGGGGTGGAGCTGGGTATGGAGACAACACAAGAAGAGATCAAGGCCAGCCTGGGATACATAGCAAGATCCTGTCTCCAAAAAACCCTTCAAGGGTAGTCTGGACAATTGAGACCCTGTCTCACAATCAAAAGATTTTTTTTTTTTTTTTTTTTTTTTTTATTTTATTGAACC